AAAAAAAAAAAAAAAAAAAAAAAAAAAAAAAAAAAAGATAATGGCTCTGGCTGGTTAGCTCAGTTGGTTAGAATGCAGTGGTATAACACCAGGGTTAGGGGTTCAGGTCCCCAAACAGACCAGCTAAAACTTATTGCTTGCCAAACAACAGGTAACCCACAAGTAGCTGCACTTCTGATTGTGTCTTAAGACAGAGTAATTGATTCTAGTTATTTGAATAGAACGGACTCTTCCTCACATCCCCTTCCATCTTGGTTCCTCCCTAGTAGAACTTTGCCTTTTTTATAATGGGGGTGGGAGAAATAGGAAGGAGAAAAAAGTCAGCAGTTAACCTAAAAGCAGAAAGTAAAGTCTGTTATTTTTTTCTAAATATTTTCTGAATAATTTAGCTACTATTTGAATGGACGAATTGCTACCAAGGAAGATTTTCTAAACCCTGATGTACTGGACACTTTTATTTTATCTGTGCAAAAAGTTTTCCAGGTAATAGTTTTTTTCCTTTTAACATAAAACCAGAGTCCTTATTTTGTAATCTGTCTAGTTCTAAATTCTATAGGTATATAAATTTACATGATTTTTCTCATTTTAGAAAAGAGGAACTCTGTCTTATTCACTTTTGTTTCCCACTGAGCATTGGGACTTACCCATGTACATTGATTAGTATTTTAAAAATACTTCAGGTGGCGCACTGCTACAGTGCACCGCTTTGGAAGCGCGGCAGCGCTCCCGCCGAGGATTCGGATCCCACATACAGACCGGCCGCTCACTGGCTGAGCGAGGTGCGGGAGCAACACCGAGGGTTGCGATCCCGTTGCCGGTCCCGGTCCGGTACGGGCGAGACACTGAGGGTTGCGATCCGTTGCCGGTCACGAAAAAAGACAAAAAGGAAAAAAAAAATACTTCTAACAGCTTTTTAGTAGAATTAACTATCACAGATTATAAGAATGAGTTTATTTACATTCCTTCCATGCCCTAGTGTTTCAATAAAAGAAAATTGCCCAGGACCTAAATGACTGCGGACATACTTTATAACAATATAGGATGGATGGGTTTAGGACTACAAGGTTTTGAATGTTCTTAGTTTTCAATACTATCGTTGGTCAGTTTGTTTGCAATTACCATGGAGATTTTCCTGTTCCATAGGTGGTCGAGGAGACCAGACCCAGCAAGAAGGTCTGGTTAGGAGAGACAAGCTCTGCGTATGGGGGAGGAGCACCCTTGCTGTCCAACACCTTTGTAGCTGGCTTTATGTGAGTGAAGCAGCCCTGGCCTCAGGGGCCAGATTGTAGCTCTTCCTCATCCTTCAATTGAAATAGCTCCTCAGCCAAAAAGCAGATCACAGATGGTTTCAGTGGCTGAGCTGCAAATTCATGCCAGATTTTGCAATAAAATGATTTACTAAACTTGTTGGACATCTTTAATGGGTGTCCCAAATCAATCATTCTAAGAATGAATTGTTTTAGAAATTTTGTTTCTTATTTATGGCCCATAAATAAGCCAAGGAGGCCTTCCTCTAAAGAAGTACTTTGTAAAGAATATATCTGGTGCTTTGGCTCTGAAGATACTTAGTTCTTTACACAGATTCCCAAGAAGTCCAGAGCCTGAAGTATGAGATTACTCCAGAGAGGCTACCAATGAATTTAACGATTTACTAGATCACCTCGTTATCCAACATCACAAACTTGATTGCTCTAAATTAGTGATTTACTTACATTCAAGAACTCTGTTAGCACTCTTAATCTAGAGTTCTGTAGCCTCACGTTGAGATTTTTTTCTCTTTGCTTTCCCATCCTTATTTGTCATTATTATAAGCTCAGAAAAGCACAAATCCTTTATGCTCATGGAAGAATGAGGAGGGGGTGGGGAGAGGAGAGGGGGAGGTGTCCATAAAAGTTTAGGAGAGGTTCAGTTTATTTTATATTTCTATCATTGGTGACTACCACCTTTTCTTCAGCCCTCACACAGTGGGGGACACACTATAGGATGAGGACTTGCCCGTAGGGGTGGAAATTTGTCTGCTGTGCTTTGTAGAAGTTGTCTTACCCTGAAAGGGCCTCCTCTGACATTTTAATGGTCTGCTAGGATTTGTTATCATGCTGAAGTATGGGAAGATGTGAAGGGAGGCGTTCTGCTGCTACTGCACAGAGTCCCCTTTTCATTTGAATGACTTATTTATAATTAATGCCAATTTTCTGGTTTCTTGTTAGTTCCTCCCACATAGATGGATAAAACAGGATACTGTATATAATTAGAATTGAGTGATTCTGTTTTCCAAACCTGAAGTAAGCTGGGTCTCACTCTGTCCCAGGTGGCTGGATAAATTGGGCCTGTCAGCCCAAATGGGCATAGAAGTGGTGATGAGACAGGCGTTCTTCGGAGCTGGGAACTACCAGTTAGTGGATGGAAACTTTGACCCTTTACCTGTGAGTGACCATTGTTTTCCTCTATCTATGAGTAGATTAAAGAATACTCAGGGCCCTTGGTATTAAACCCCTGTGAACAGTCCATCCTCTCGATAAATAGCCAAATCACGGGATGATGAGTTGGAAGGAAAATTAGATCATTCATTCTAACATTTTTGTGTCTCAAAGAAGAAATCAAGAGCTAGGAATAACTTCTTAAGTGTGGGCCATTTGGGGCATAGTGTGGATTTTTTTTAAAGGGACAATTTGAAATTATGTGACATTTTATAAGATAATAAACTTGGATCAAAAAATGTTTTGCAAAGTAAATCAAATTAAAATTGCCTACAGTATTCAAGGCTTCAAAACTTTTGTGTCATGAAATCATAATTCATTTAATTTAAAAATGAGCCAGTACCATGTACTTGTTAAAAAATTTCACCCTAAGAATTGGCTATTTTGTTAATAATCTTCAAGCTACTTAAAGTCTCATTTCCACCCTACTTCCAACTACATCTGGTGCTGAATAAATCAGGAAGGGTAGCCTTTCTACCCAAAAAGACACCTGAAAGATATATATGTCTAAAAATTGGGATAATATAGCTGTAGCCCTGAAAAATATGACCTTGATTTGCATAGTCTAAAATGGCATTTGAGGATATCATTTTTTAAGAATAATTCCTAAGGGAATTATTTTAATATTGTAGGAAAGCTAACAAATTTTGCAAAGAGCATATGCCAAAATATAAACTAGGCTTTTGTGGTTCGTGGATAGATTTCCCAACAAAATTGCTTTTTATCTATAGCAGTCCAAGCTCAGGGAGCACACTGCTCATACTTCTTAAGAAAATTCTTAGAAAAGTGACCTTGCAAAAAAGTGGAATTTGTCTTTCCCCAAGTATATTATGTCATCTGTAGAATTTAACTTAGCATGGCAATTTCACTAGGCAAGCATTCAGAATCTACTCCTGGCCCTTTCTTAAATGGGCCTTGAACAAGGAAGATAAATAAGTAATTTCTGCAAAATTCACATTGAGTACAATGTTTAGAAATTAGCCAACTTACCCTGTCACTGTTCATAGTGTCACCTATCTATTAGATTATCCAGATCTTCCCAGGTCCCACACATAAACCTTTGGCTTAAGAACCCTTTGTATATGCACTAAATGTTCTTCTTCAAAGTTCAGAGTCAGCTAGAAAAACTTGCAAGAGGATATGGCACCCTTGATACCTGAAGGATCCAAGGGAATCAGCCTCAAACCCACTGTACATGTTTGTTTCTTTATCTGATTTGCTCAGTAATCCTATAAGGTAGCAAGGCAGGTATCTTAGATCCAATTTTCAGATGAGGAAGTTCAAATTGAGAAGAGGCGGCATGATTTGGTAGAAGCCACACTGTCCTGTTACTCTAAAGAATTCCATTAAATCCTGCCTGTTTTCTACCCTATCAGTCGCTGAACCATGCTCAAGTAATGTTTCCTTTGAAAACATTGACAGTCATGCGAAGCTTAATGAAAGGGGTACTTTCTGAGAAATGTGTCGTTAGGTGATTTCATCACTGTGTGACAAGAATTCCATTAAATCCTGCCTGTTTTCTACCCTATCAGTCGCTGAACCATGCTCAAGTAACGTTTCCTTTGAAAACATTGACAGTCATGCGAAGCTTAATGAAAGGGGTACTTTCTGAGAAATGTGTCGTTAGGTGATTTCATCACTGTGTGAACATCACCGAGTGTACTTACACAAACCTAGATGGTGGACAGCCTACTACACATCTAGGCACCAGAGGAATCTACATTACAAACTCATTTATTTTTCTTCCCACAATTTGCCACCCCTAGAGACCCAATATCCTTTTCCTTTGTCTTGTCACTTGACTAAAAATTTATTGTTCTTTGTTGAAGATGCTACTGTAAGCCTGAGTTCTAAACCACCTCTTTGAGAATTACTCATTCCCTGGGTGTCTTCCCTGTATACATGAAGTATACATGTTGATAAACTTTGGTTTGTTTTTCTCTTGTTATCTGTCTTTTGTTACTCCAGCTAAGAACTAAGGGTACAGGGAAAATTATTTTTTTCCTACTGTACACCCCAGTCTCCCAGCCTTGTTTGATCCATAGTCCTACCCACTCCTTACCTCCCACCTATTGGATTACTTTGAAGCAAATCCTAGATATATTATTTTATCCATAAATATTTCAGTATGTACTTTCTTTTTAAAAACAGCATAATATGATTATCATACTTTAAAATATTAACAAAATTTCCTCAGTATTGTCAAATATTTAGTCAATGTTTCACATTTTTCTTATTGTCTAAAATATTGTTAACAGTTATTTTATTCAGATCAGAATCCAAACAAGGTTCATATGTTGCATCTGGTTGGTATGTCTCTTAAGCCTGTTCATCTTTAAGTTCCCCCTCTCTTGCCCCTTGTTATTTATTAATTAAAGAAACCAGGTAATTTGTTCTGTAGTGTTTTCCACTATAGAATAAATTGTTCTGGATTTTGCTAGTTATTCTTGTGATATTATTTAGTATGTTCCTCTGTCCCCTGTACTTCCTATGAACTGATAGTTATATCTAGAAGGTTAAGCTTATTCAGGTTTTTGGTCTTTTGTTTTTCTGCAAGAATTCTTTATAGGTGATGTCGTGTGCTTCCTTTGGGAAGCACATGATGTCTGGTTGTCTCTTTTTTTGACCTTGATAGCTAG